ATGTAATTTACTGCACTATGTGATTTTAAAAATGATAACTACCTAATTAAAGAAGTAACGAAAAACTTTTGAAATGATACAAGAACAATTTTTTCTAATTTCTGGACACATAGTACTGCAGGAGTAATCTTTCTACTTTAAGACCCATAATGCTCATAAATTCCTTAGTAAGCTTTGTGGTATCTCTTCTGTTTATTTGGGTCTGGTCCCTGAAATGCCTCTACATTATGGGAAATTGCGCCTGCTATTGGAAAACACCTGGTATCTGCTAACCTTTCAGAATTGACATTTATGCATCATAATTTTGACACATAAATCATAGTCCTTCTTTGATACATAATTATGACAATAACGCACAACTGCAATGTTATCGATGTGTATTGAAAATGTGATACATGTACATGTATCCCATTGAAATTTTGTGAGAACTTTAACCACATATTCCATAACTTTCATGTGTGAAATTCAAATAGTGATAAGGCCTAAGGTTTGGATGTACCCACTCGTTGCATAGCAACCCTCTTATTACCATGCCTAGATAGTTGTTGCTAGCAGAAACTGAAGAATCCAAGAGACTGCGAAGTGTAACTCTCAAAAGGGTGACCTTTTTCTGCAACATCTCTTTTACCTAACATCAAGATAACCTTTTTTGTCTTCCACAAATTTTTATTAAAATAGAAAATTTGGTGTTATGACATAGTCATAACACCAAATTTTCTATTTTAATAAAAATTTGTGGGAAACTAGCTTTTAGCTGTGAAACTTGCAAGACAAATTAGCAGTGTATATTTGTTAAATCCTAAATATGGATTTCTTGTTGCAGTTTTATCTTCAGCTAAGGGGACGCCAATATGGCTCGTGGCCCGACAATTTTTCAGTTTTTGATGAGCTATTATGCATTCTGTTTCCCTTTCCAGTAAAAATAAAAAGTCATCATCTATATAGTGATCTGAAGTGTGTAAATTCGTAGTTATTTTGTTAACTAATGAAAAATTGTATAAATGTCTCCCCATATTTAACATCTTATTGTAGCCTTCGGCGACGTTTTATATGTAGTAAAACCCATTTTATAAAATACAAAGGAATTCAAAATCACCAGTATGTTTAAGTATTAATTAATTTACAAGCATTTGATATATTTAACTTTTGCTAAAAGAGCCCCTTTAGGCTAAGACACGAAATAATGTCTACTAAGTTGTCCGAAATGATAAAACATTTACTTTTAGTACGCAGCTTCTAGATCAATGAAATCATTTAATATGCCATTTGATTGCGGGTATGAGAAATGAGCAATCATCCGTCCCTCATGGATTTAGAAATTATACAAACTGGTAACATGTGAAGATTTATTGGGAAAGGAAGTTGACCAATACTTTAATGTAATACCCTTAAAAATATATCCTACCTTCATAAATGAGGCTGTTACATCTGGGTAATCTTAATATTTTGATACTTTTGTGAGGGACATGATGATATGCAGTACCCATTGTTACATTTTCATGGAAATATACAATACCCACACCTCTGTCTGCTACAGAAGTCCCTATAATTGAAGTCAAAAAATTTCCTGATTGATACTTCCCATTAAAGATTTGGTTGCAATGGTCTGAGGTAATGGGGCTTGCATGAACATCAATATTTAAATGACAATTTGGTTTAGAACATCCTAGCTAGTATCATCTGACTGGATGAGATTTTGAGAGGGGGATATATCTCTCTCTAGTAGCAGTACCAACCTTGATGTTGGTTGGGCTTTCAGCATTGTTCATGCAATATATAAATTTACAAGTTAACAAAATGATTTTTTTACCTATTAATATTGCATTAGTGACTTTCAACAATTTATCATATTAACTTCTTTTGATATTTATAATAGAGAGCACAGCGAGCTTATAGACATGTGCAAATGAAAATTCAAATTTAAATCTGCACTTTTCAATATTTAACTTTTTGCTAAAAACTTCCCCTTCCTAACACAAGAAAATAATGTCTACTAAGTTGTCAAATGATAAAACATTTACTATACACAGCTCTCATCAATGAAATCATTTAATATCCTGAATTCAGGGTATGAGAAATAGAGCAATATACCATTACCTGCATGGATTTAGAAATTATACAAACTGGTAACATGTGAAGGTTTTTTATTACAAAAAAGGCAAAATCATGGATACTTAATGTAATACCCTTAAAAAATATATCCCTACCTTCATAAATGAGGCTGTTCTTGATCTCGGTAATATTTAAATATTTTGATACTTTTTGTAAGGGACATGATAATACAGTGGATTTGTTACATTTTCATGGAAATATACAATACCCACATGTCTGTCTGCTACAGAAGTCCCTATAATTGAAGTCAAAAAATTTCCTGATTGATACTTCCCCATTAAAGATTTGAGCAATGAAGTTCTGAGGTAATGGGGCTGCATTGAACATCAATGTTTGATGATTGGTTGAAGCATCCTCACTAGCTGTCATCTGACTGCGGGTTGAGGGATATTCTCTATTCCAGTGAGCAGTACCAACCTTGATGTTGCATTCCACCTTCTTTTCGGGCATTTCTCATGCAATGTATAGACTTGGCAAGTTAACAAATAAATTATTTTTCTTAGCTATTAATATTGCATTAGTGACTTTCAACAATTTTTATTTAACTTCTTTTGATATTTATAATGAGACTATAAACATGTGCAAATGGAGAAAATTCAGATTTAAATCTGCACACTTTTCAATATTTAACTTTTGCTAAAAGACCCCTTTATTAACACGAGAAATAATGTCTACTAAGTTGTCAAATGATAAAACATTTACTATACACAGCTGTTAGATCAATGAAATCGTTGATATCCCGTTGATTCAGGGTATGAGAAATGGCGATGCATCCGTACCTGCATGGATTTAGAAATTATACAAACTGGTAACATGTGAAGATTTATTGGGAAAGGAAGTTGACCAAGATACTTAATGTAAATCCCTTAAAAAATATATCCTCCTTCATAAATCAACTGTCTTTGATCTGGGTAATCTTTAAATATTTTGATACTTTTGTGAGGGAACATAATAATATAGGGTGCCCATTGTTACATTTTCATGGAAATATACAATACCCACATGTATCTATACTACAGAAGTCCCATAATTGAAGTCAAAAAATTTCCTGATTGATACTTGCCGATTAAAGATTTGGTTGCAATGGTCTGAGGTAATGGGGCTTGCATGAACATCAATGTTTGATGATTGGTTGAAGCATCCTAGCTAGCTGTCATCTAACTGGATTGTGGGTTAAGGATTCTAGTAGCAGTACCAACCTTGATGTTGCATTCCAGCTTCTTTTGGGCATTTCTCATGCAATATATTAATTTTACAAGTTAACAAAAAAAATCATTTTTTTACCTATTAATTGTGCATTAGTGACTTTCAAACAATTTATCATATTAACTTCTTTTGATATTTATAATAGAGAGCACAGCGAGCTTATAGAGCATGTGCAAATGGAGAAAATTACAATTTAAATCTTGCATATTGTTCAAATGACTTTTTATCAATCATGTGAAATCTGTTACGTTGTTCGAAAAACTTTATATCAATAATGTCTTGATGTGAAAATTTTTAACATCCTGTGGGTTACATAGCGTGGTGAGTTGTCTTAGGCAAACAGCAATAACTTACTTGAGAAAAAAATACAATTTTACACGTTATGTTAATGTTAATTGTTGTAATAATCCGACTTTAAAATAAAATTTTCTGATACACTACTGTAAGTAAACATAGCTTTGTATGTGACGTCAATTTCTTCGCTGAATAGTTTCGGGTCTTTCCGTTTAACTTTTCCGGAAGACCTCTTAAGGTTCAAATTTCGATCCTAACACAGTGGGGAGTAATAATATTTCTATTTTTTATTTTTTTATTTTAAATGTATTTCATATTACTGAACTTGCCTAGCATAGGCAGTAAACGCCACCAACTTGGACTTTAAGGGGGATGTACAAGTCATATGATGATCTAATATCAATGAGACATTTTACATGTCCAATACGCTAATATTACCAAACTAGGCCAAATTTATTCATAGCTACATGGTCAACATTACCTAATGTTAGAGACCAAAATAAGTAAATGATTAACTGTTTCTTTGAGATGAGAAAGAAATTGTCATCTGCATGTGGCTCACGTTCACAATGAAAAATGCATTGAAAATGATGTCAATTCAGTTCATTGATAATATGGTTACAATCATTTCTTTTCGCTTTTTTGTTATCCTTATCATCATTCTTAAAATTTGATTTTTCATATAGGGGTCTTCCTGATGTAAAAATATTTGTTTAAATTTGTTGATGTGTGAAGTTTCATTCCATTCGATGTAACAGAAATCAATTTACTTCATTTTAAAATCGCCTGAAGCGCCTGTGTCTTTCTTTGACAATCCAACCTTTTAAAGTATTTGTTCAGATTTTTACAGTTAAACCGTAGCTTCACAGATTGTCCTTATCCGATGCAGGGTCTCTGTAACTCAAATACTGCCTGTACTGCTTGTTCATACATGCATACTCTCTTGTGACACATTTTCTTGATTCCTCACAAATTTTAAGAGTTTATTCAGGATTATTCAGTGTTAATTGTTCCATTCACAAAAATATGTGCATAATTTGGCAAAGAATTACACAGAAAAAGATACAGAGTCACAAAATCTCAGCACAAAAGAAAACTTACGATTTCTTTATACTTAAGGAATAATAATTTCCATTCATTATCAATGAAATAATATTATAATATAATGCATCATTGGAGTTTGCGGTAGGCAACCTTAAACCACTTGTATTTGCTCACCCTTTTTTATTCTTTCGTATATTGTTTTCAAAATTTCGGCTATCGCCTAGCAACCAAAAAGCATGTCAATTTCATTTTATTCAAAAATATACAAATTAAAGAATGAATATATATATATATATATATATATATATATATATATATATATATATATATATATATATACAAAATTACAAAAAAGCCTGAAATTTATCGTGTAAAAATGCTTTTAGAAAGTTCACTTAATCGGTGTTCAAACAATAAAGACTTCACCTTCTCCATTGATATACCCGACTCTATCAACAGATCTGGACGTTTGTTTGCTTCGATATTGTTGCACAATTCGTTGTAGAAAATTTTTGGATATCCTTCCAAGAGCATGCCTATCACCTCGGGTTGATCATTTTCATTTTGAATCAACGGCGATCCCGAGGCGCCATGGGCTGTGCTCTTTGAACAATGAAAGAGAATCTGTTCTGCTGAAATTTTACATTTCGAGAAATCACTTTCATCAATTGGTATATTGACAAAGAGGGTAGAAAAAAATTTAACCGATTCTTTTATTGTTTTCTCGAGTTCATGTTCGTCATATATGATTTTACAACCAGGATCTGTTTGTAGTTCCCGGCCTCCAGGATGACCTAAAATATGAATCAATGTTTTCGGAGCATTTAGGCTGACCAGCTCAACTGAATCTGGAAAAACCTTGCTTGGGTCCTCTATTAATTCCAGAATTGCAATGTCGTGTTTTTTGGAAATAAAAGGAACATCGTATTTAAATTTGAAATTTTCTCCTGTTTTATCATGAAAATAACCAAATCGGATGCTGCTGCTTTCCGTAATCAACTGTCTTCCCAATTCCTTTACGGTTTCTACAATAAATAAATGAAATGCTCCAATTTCCTTAAAATATTTCAGGACATGTTTCATTTAGAAATCTTCGAAATATCAATGTATCATGAGTGCCTGTCACCTCCCGGAAGTGTTGTAAGATCAAAGCTTTAAAACTTGAAATTCACAATGAGTAGACAGATTGCATGTCATTCCTTTATGCTAGATTGCAAATACTTTATTGAGATGAATATTTAAAGAAATAGAAAACAGAGATTTATTAAAAGTAAATTCAATTCCATGAACCTCATAAATTTCTAATTTTAGAATGGATTTATCTTGTAATATTGACAGAGCACATTTTGTTTTGGAAGTAATTATAAGTAAAACAATACCTTGTAAATTAGAATCTAAGCAGTTAATGATATCTGTCAGACAGTACCGTCCCTCCTCTTGCTGAACAGCCGAAATACTAAATCTCACAGAAAGATTTTTCCGCAATCGATCTAATTAAAATTCAAGATAGTATTAACTTAGTTATGGTCAAGTTATATTTCTGTTCATTAAGGTAAAGATCCATACCATGCTACAAGAATAACGAAGCTACAGATTTTGTTTAAACTTTTCAGAATTTGAATTAAGTATTTGTCCTTTTCATATCTGCGTAAATTTTGAGGTCAACCGGGCCTCCTTTTGTTAGGACTGTTACTAAAAATAGACATTGTCTCGAGAAATTACAAAAATGAAGGAATTGAGTAATATATGCTAGCTTTTTAAAATTAAAGGCAAATAAAAATATTTAACATATGAATTGTAGAGAGGATATGCTTATTTAACGGTTTAATTAATTTTTACACCTGCTGATCCATTTAATTGTACTTTTTAGGGCGAATTCAACATATTTAGCTCAAAATTATAAAGTTCATTTCTGGTAAAAATAAATTGCTGCTTGATATTCTAACTACAGATTTCTTTTTAAAATTAACACGTTATTTTCCAATGTTCTCTCCCTTATATGGCATAAAAATTAAGTGGGGCAGCGGGCATCAAACAAGGAAATTTAACATTTTTATACCAAATTTGCTGAAAAATGATAATTTGAAAAATCTTTTTAACATCTATACTTTTAGGATTTGGGTGTAAAAATCGCTTTAAATATTTAAAACTATCGATAATAGAACAGTAATAAGTATGGTTTAAATCATAAGTTGAATATTTAATGCATAGACGGCCAAAAATTCGTTTTCACGATTCACAAGCATAATAGTAATCGGGTTCAATCTTCGGAATATTCTATAAACCGTTCATGCGCATGTGTGACGTTATGACGGAAGTGAAAGAAGAAAATACTTTCAGTTTCTACATTGGTCGTTTGGATGCGATTTATTTGATCAAAAATTTAGAGAAGTGGCACGTTTTACTACTTTTTGTGTCTATGTAATACATTTTTCGCTATTCATAGATACAAATAAGTGGTTTGTTTGCCACATCTTTTTAACGTCTGGTTTCTGATCTCAGGAAATGTATTCGGGTCTTTATAAGTAAGGTGCAACGTTGTTTATCATGTTTTTAGCCATATACCATATACAAATAGATAAAATTAATGTACGCAGTGATTAATATGTTCAGTGTTTCCACTATGTAATGTTTGTTTGTTTAAACAATATAAACACCGTGCTTATAGGCGATCATGTCCTTGGAAGGCAGAGATCCCCTTCTTAAGCTAGGGACACTGAATGATCGAGGTTTTCCGTACATAACAGGTCCAGCACAATACCCCGATAAAGGTATAGCTTTATCAAGATATTTAAAATACCTTGATCAAGGTATTTTATGTAATGAAAATTCAAAAAATATTCTTTAAAAATTTAAAACTGAAAGTCGAGTTCGGAGTTTTTGTCAGTGTGTCTACTCGTGCATGAAAAACACTCTGGTATCAAAAAGAAAGCAAAAAGTATCGTCTCCTCACACGACATGTTTTTCTACGGATTTGTTTCTATTTGTGTACTTTACATGCATGGGTGACTTTACTGACATCAACTCAGATTGAAATTTTCGTGGCAGATCTAGTGGTGAGTGTGTGTGTTCCCATGGACATTGCAGAGTTATTAAATGTACATACTTAACCTAGCAGTACAATTATTCTCTGCCATCCTTGGACTTTTAGTAAGACGTAGTATTCTCGGCACTAGTGTCTTTCAAATGGCAAATAGATTTTCATTGGTTAAAAAATTAATAGCATCAGGTACTTTTAATCGTTGTTGACAATCATTTAGACAACTTACCGGTAATCTTTCTTTCTTATATGTCCTGAATTTCTATCCTGGCCACATATATTTCAACAATGAATGAAAGCTGTGTAAATTTTAGAGGCTAATTATATAACATCAAGAATATCCCGCCTTACTGAAAGTCCATTTAGATAACAGTGAATTGTACTACCTTGGACGACAGGACCCCTCCTTGGAAAAACTGATCTATGCAAAATTGGTATGAAAAGTCATTGGTATGATGCTTTAAAAGTCAACAACTCCCTGAGTAAATAGAATGTTCTATGTTAAAGTGATATTTTGATATGGATCCAGTGAGCATTTGTTCCATGAGTTTTGACACAGATTCTCGAACCTGTAATTGTCTGAGCTGATGAACATCATTATAAGTACTGAATATTTAATTTGTATGTATACTTGTATATTAAAAGTACCTGAGAAATGATACATGCATTACGAACATGGTCTAGTTTTAAAAAAAACCTCTTTCTGTTGCTCTGTGCCTAAAATAAAAACATTTAATCAGGACATCCAAGATGGTTCAATTTGACTTGTACTGGAGTTTAGGCAGTTCAATTATACTTCTCTAAAATTGTATTCTAATAATGAAATAAAAAAAAAGATTTTTTTCTTCTTCAGCTTTTTATCATGCTACATGACAGAGCACAAAGTCCTAACTCATAAGTTTGGGGAGGACTCTTCATTCATTTGGGGGAAAATGGTTTGCTATGAGTTTTGCATGCTGGTCCTATACATTATCTGGCTTTTTGGAACTGTGATGCTTAGTGCATATTGATGTTAAAATAGATAAATGTGTAGGTGTATATATTATAAAGCTCAATATGACATCAAAAACTATTTATGTAGGAAAAGAAAGAACTGAATAATCACTGGGAAAGTTATGCTCTTTTTTTTTTACAAGTATCTTGATAAACCAAGTTTAACATCAACAAAAAAAACCCTGATATAATTGACTCCCCTTTCACTGAAAGTGGGGATACTAAATTTAGGTCTTTGCATCTGTCTGTGTGTCTTTCTGTCTGTCTGTAACACTTTCAAGAAGCCTTTGAGCTTTTGGGGATGGGTTATAATTGTTATTAAAACAAAAATACTTGTAATGCTGTTACTGTAAATATTGCCTGATGTTTTCACATCAGAAATTATTAAAATACTTTTTCTCATTGGCAATTATTTGTTCACTTTTGTAGGTGACTATAATGCAGAATAGGCCTTTGATGTCAGATATCCTACCGTGGCTCGTCACATCTTGTGTAGGACTACCCAAATGGCAAGAATCCAATGGTTGGGTCCATATGAAATGAAACATATTATCTGTTACAAAAACAGAAGCTTAAGGTCAAGGAAGTCCCAGTAGGTGAATATTTTAGGTGGAGGAGAGAGTGTGTTTGAAACCTGTTGAACCAGTATGAAAGATAAAACAGTTTCTGAAAATGGTAGTACTTATCTATGTTAATGTGTCGGTCATAAGGGAATAAATGATAATGTCTTTGGTTATGTTACACTGATGTACCAGACACTGCAAGGCACATTTAAGTGAATCTGCCAAACCCTTACAATTGTGGTCAGTCTTCACAGGAATAACAAGCACACTTCACTGTCAAACTCCAAGATAATTGTTTAAGATGGAGTGTAGCTATAAGAGAACTTGTTTGAATAGCAGTTCAAGCAAATGTGGACACTTTGAGATTGTGGCATGCAGAGGCAACCTGAACCACAGACTCCATATCTCTTTTTTTGACATTGTGTACAGGTTGATCTGGAAATGATCTTTGACAAACCTTCTATTTTGAATATTCTTAATTGTTTTGCGATGATTAGGCCCAATTTCCTGTTATCCTACGTATTTCGCAGTAGCAAAACGCCCTAAAGTATACATTTCAATTTATTCTACAAGACCCCATGCGTTGTGTTTTCCCAGAAACAACTTGCCTACGCCACCTCATTACAAGGAAAATGTCTTTATTATTAATTTTTATAAAGTCTAGTCAAGTTTTAATTATTCATATAAATAAACGTTTGCTTTTGCTTATTTTAAACTGTGAGTCCGTAGATTGTGCAAATAATGCATGTTTTGACCACTCAATCAACATATATTAAAATGTATCGAATAAAATCAAAAAAAACATGACACACATCTCTTCTGACTCCGAAGCGAATGAAATCCGCCATACGCTACAAACGACTTCCCCAATATACTTTTTAGCGGCTCCCCGCGTTACCGATTTGTTTATACACTGAAATTCATATGCTAATCCAGGCATTGCCGATACGTTTCTACTGCAACCAATCGGCTATTGAGATTTCATTACAAGTGAGTACCACTAAAACACTAAGGAAATAATTTAATGTGAAAAAGACTTCTTTACTTTTACCTGGTTTCTTGTAAATATTTTTTATACATTCGAAGACCGCAGTAAGACATTGGTACTTATATATGTACAATTTCGAGATCACTGTTACAAACAATTGATTGATAAATATACACTGTACATAGTTTTAGTTTTGTAAAGTGTTGGTAGGATATTCGCTAGCCGTAGGTCTACACATACTTCCAAGATATCATATTGAATTAAACTTTCATGTGCATTTCTTGACCCAAAACCGTAAACGCAGAGAATCCATTTGGTCTATGAGGGGTGGGCTGGTTTTACAAATATTGTGAAGAATGGAAATTATGTGTGAATATCAAGAAAACAAAGATACTTATTTTTTCAAAGGGTACAGCCAAAGAATATTTTTACATATAATGGCAGTATCATGAGAGTAGTGAAGGATTTTAATTATTATACCCGCACTTTCTAAGAGAAAATTAGGGTATATATTTCTGCAGTACCAGTCTGTCACACTTTTCTTCCTTGAACTGTTCTTTATTTTACATCGTCAGCTTAATCACCTTTTAGGGGATGATTGGTTGTGCTGGTGACATGCAGTAAGGTTTCAGAATTTAGGTTTTGCAGTGAGTGGAGTAGAAAAATGACGTTTTTTATGCAAAAAGTCCCGTCTTCCCGAACTCCTTCTACATTTTACTCAACAGCCTAATGGCCACTGCAGTAGTTGGTGGTGTCATGTAGATGTGCAGTAAGTTTTCGGAATTTTGATTTTGCAGATGGAGGTAGAAAAATAAACATTTATGAAAAAAGTACGGTCTTCCCTGAACTCCTTCTACATTTTACTCAGCAGCCTAATCACCTTTTGGGGATGATTGGTGGTGTCATGTAGATGTGCAGTAAGGTTTCGGAATTTTGATTTTGCAGTGGTGGGATGAGAAAATGACGTTTTTTATGCAAAAAGTCCCGTCTTCCCCTAAAACTGTTGTTTACATTTTACTCAGCAGCCTAATAGCCTTTTGGGGGATAATTCGTGGTGTAGTGTAGATGTGTGCAGTGAGGTTTCGGAATTTTGGTTTTGCCGGGGGGTCGAGATGGGGGTCGAAAAATGACGTATGCCGAAAAGTCCCGTCTTCCCTGAACTCCTTCTCATTTTACTCAGCAGCCTAATCACCTTTTGGGAGATGATTGGTGGTGTCACTAAGATGTGCAGTAAGGTTTTGTAATTTTTGATTTTCCCGGGGGAGAAAGTCGAGATGAGATCAAATTGACAGCTTTTTATGCAAAAGTCCCATTCTCCCCTAAAAACCCTTCTCATTTTTACGCAGCCTAATACACCTTTGGGGGATGATTGGTAGTGTCATGTAGAGATGTGCAGTAAGGTTTTGGAATTTTGATTTTGCCCTGGGGGGTCAAATGGGGGTCAAAATAACATTTTATGCAAAAGTCCCGTCTTCCCTGAACTCCTTGCACATTTTACTCAGCAGCCTAATCACCTTTTAGGAGATGATTGGTGGTGTCATGTAGATGTGCAGTAAGGTTTCGGAATTTAGATTTTGCAGGTGGATGAAAAATAACATTTTTTTATATGAAAAAAGTCACATCTTGCCTGAACTTCTCCTACATTTTACACAGCAGCCAATCACCTTTGAGTGATGTATGGTGGTGTCATGTAGATGTGCAGTAAGGTTTGAATTTATTTTGCCGGGGGAGAATGGGGTAGAAAAATAACAGTTTTTGCAAAAATCCCTTTTCCCTGAACTCCTTCTACTTTACTCAGCAGCCTAATCATCTTTTGGAGATGGTTGGTGGGTCATGTAGATGTGCAGTAAGGTTTGGAATTTTGATTTTGCCCTGGGGGTCAAATGGAGGTAAAAATAACGTTTTTTATACAAAAAGCCCTGTTTTCCCTGAACTTCTCTTACATTTTACTCAGCAGCCTTTTGCTTAGGAGATGGTTGGTGGGGTCTTTGTAGATGTGCAGTAAGGTTTCGGAATTTTGATTTTCCCCGGGGGGTAAATGGGGAAAAATATTTTTTTTAATCAAAAGACCTTTCCCTGAACTCCTCTTCATTTTACTCAGCAGCTAATCCTTTTGGAAGGGTGAGGTGGTGTCATTACAGTGTAGGTTTCGAATTAGATTTTCCCCGGGGTAAGGGGGGGGTTAAAAATACATGTTTTTATACAAAGAGCCCTGTTCCCCTAAACTCCTTTTTACATTTTACTCAGAGCAATATCTTTGGGAGAGGGTTGGTGGGTCATGTAGATGTGCAGTAAGGTTTTGGAATTTAGATTTTGCGGGGGGTCAAATTAGATGGAAAAATGACTTTTGTGCAAAAAGCCCTGTCTTCCTTGAAGTCTTCCTTAATTACTCAGAAGCTAATGCTTATCTTTAGGAGAGTTAAATATTTTGAAAATTATGTAAAACATCAACGTGCAAGGGGTAACAAGATGTGTTTGTGAAACACTATGCTCCCGGCGACAACAAAGTTCGAAAAAGCTATTTTTAGTATATATGTCACAGGCAAGGTCACA